AAATAAAGAAAACACTGAAAATCGGGACACTTAATCGGTGCCGACTTTTAAAAAATATTCAGCAGGACAATTTTCTCAAAATCGATACTGTCCCGCCAAAATCGGTACGAATGGTCACCGTAAGGATGGTAGAAAGACGCAAAAAAAGTGACCAGGTCTGGCTGGCTGCATGCCGTCGTGCCAAATGACCTTTGTGTCGGAGCGCAGTTTACCAACTAATTATGGAAATGACTCAACTTAATTGAAACTTTCATGTAAAAAAAAAAACTGAAGAAAAAATGCAAATAAGCAAAAAAAAGAATTTGAAAAAAAAAACGACTATAATGTCAAATAAAACAGTGAGAGTACTCATTCATATAAATAACTGTGTAAATGCCATAAAATTGCAAATGAAGAAAATACCTGAATGACAGGCGGAAATTAATAGTTGCTTCGAGCTGCATGACTTTTATGTCGTTGCATGAATGAAAAGTAGGAAAAAAACTTATTAAGTAAGGCATTACAATTATTTGAAAAAGAATTTTTACAAGTTCTCTTTCGAAATGCTTTGTTGACTGCGCTAATAATACTTGATATGCTCGGTAGCTTCTTAGTAAGTAATTCAAGCGACTTGTTTAATTGTTTGATTGCACTGCATTGTTTGATTTGTTGAAAAGACGTATTCGAGTGAATTATTATGAGTAGTATTTATGCAGCAGATGCACATAAATAAAAATGTATGATGGGTAGATTTTTCTCTGTTATCGTTGAAAATTTTTTCCAGATTTTAACAGGGCATTTCTGGCAACTGTCTTTCAACTCGCCACAGCCTTTCGAAAGACTAAATAAGACACTTAGTAATAGCAATTATCTTGAAAGCTCCTTTCTGTCTTTCAAAAGACTAATTGAAAGATCTACTAAAGAGGAGGTATTCGCGTTATTCTGCTTGTATTCAAGCCATAACTGTTTTAAAATAAATAAATAAAAATATGTATTTTTTATTAATTTTAAAAACTAAAAATTAAAGGAAAGTTAAATTTAAAAAACTTAAATTACATTAAAAAAAGAAATATAAATATAATGTATTTCTAAAAATAAAATAAAATTAAAAAATATATAAAATCAAAAAGCTAAAAGAAAATTAGATTAAAAAAGAAAACAAATTATTCAAAAAAAAAAGAAAAACAAGTTTCTAAAGCTTAACGAAAATTTAAAAATACTGTTATTTTTAACACAATAAAATCTAAAAATTAAAAGAATTTTAAAATTAAAAAAAGAAAAGAAAATATGTACATAAAATAAGTTTTTAAATACAAATTATATTAAAAATATATATTTTTTAACTATCAAATCTAAAAATTGAATTAGAATTTAAATTTAGAAAAATACATAAAATAAGTTTTTTAAAAATATATGAAATTAAAAACAGTTACTCCTTTTAAAACAAATTAAAGGAAAATCTATTTTTATAAATTTGTACTAAAGAAAAGAAAAAAACACGTAAAATAAGTATCTAAAAAATAAATGAAATTAAAAACATATTTCAGCTTTATAATAAAATCTAAAAATTAAAAGAAAATTCGAACTTCGGATCTCCTGAATGGCACACCAGTGCTTTCACCACTCGGCTATTGCGACTGTTGCAGCAGCCCGAGCAAAATGATAAACATCGCCATTCGGAACATGCTCAAGTACCGTTGATTTCTTCATGATCAAATAACCGGATCTAAACAAATTTAGTACCACCTCTGAGGTACAATCTTTCGTTTAAAAACGGAATTATAGAAATCGGTTAACGTAATCCAAACTTAAAGAAAAAAAATGTCCGACGAATTGACAACCTCCTTCTTTTTCCCCTTAATATGCTGGGTCAAAATTTTAAGAAAAGAAGTGAAGCAGATGTTTTATTTTCTTCCTTAAGGCTGGTATGCAGCTCTCAAGAAAACGGTCCAGAAAAAAATTGCCATTATTTCGTGTGTGTGCCCAAAGGATTTTGACAACTTATACTTCACTAGCCTGTTGCCTCGCTCTTTCCTCAAGAAATAATGGAAAGAATATATATTTCTGTTGCAGGCATGGGTTGCCTTGTGCCCATTTTTCACAAAAAAATTTTAGAAAACCGTAGTAGAAAGCGTAGCAAATTTCTTAAGAACTGCGTACTCTCTGCAAAAAATTTGACTCAAGAACATTTCGTAGCCATTTCTTGTACGTCATTTTATATGGAGTTTTTGCTATTCTTGCAAGCTACATACAAGCCTTTACACAGACAGGGGCCGTATTTCCAGTAGTCCATGATGTTTATGGTATGAGTACTGTTCCGCATTTAGGGCCGGTTATTCAATGTCTAGTTGACACTAACTACAGGTTAACATCGCTATCGACTCGCTGTTATGTGTTATGGAGTCGATCATGTTGATTACGATGTTAAACCTGCAGTTAGTGTTACCCAAACATTGAGTAACTGGCCCTTTGGCTCTGAAGCGGTCGCAGTTAATTTTAATTTGGTACAAAATTCCGCTAAAGCAGTGCCCTGTTTTTTTTTCATTTCCTAGGCAGCCCGCTCATTTTGCAGATACAGAATCCATATAATCGAGGGGTCTTCCTTCGGAGAAGAGCCCGCGTCATTTAACATATTTTAAGTTAGTGCAAGTTTTCACAGTGCCTTGCAATAACTTGTGCCTAAAAGCAATGCTATTAAAACTCAATTTTTGGTTTAAGTACACTCGATTGCTTAACTCGTTTAAATCATTATTCACCATTAGAAATACAATAATTGTCTTAATGACATTATTTTTGATTTTCTTGAAAAAATAAGTCCATGCTGCCATCTGCCATTTTTAATTACGCAGTTAGAAGAAGGATATGAAAACAGCTTCATTGATTGACACTTTATAAATTTAGCACGTCGAAAAAATATAAATTAGACATTATCAGCTGATATGCTCATACATTCATACATACATACACAAACTCATGCACGTACTTCCACACAAGTGCATAACTCAACGTCAACACATAAATAAATTGCCACATATTGCACGCGAATCTTACACCCGCACAGAAATGAAGTTAATTAAACTGCCATAAAATGTTTATCGTTGCCAATAATGGCTAAAAAGTGAACATCAAAACAGCAAATTTCTGAAGTAAAAGTGGTACGAATACCGAACATACAAAAAAATGCCAAGCACAAACTGAAGGGGAAATTGAACAGAAGAGAAGGAAGAGGCAATCATTTCGATATTATGTATGTTAAACAGCAATCAAGCATGAAACTGGAGTATGGCAGAAAGTGCACTCGTATAGTACATTAGGATGCCTCAAGCAAAAAATAGTCACTGCTTAAAGCAAAAAATATTTTGTCTCAATTTAGTGTTATTCATGAGCTCGACCGTATGGAAAATATCTCTGAAAATCGGAGTTTAGTTGGGAGTTTTTTTTTCAGAGACCTGCGTAAAAGTTTTTCACCCTTTGGTGCGGTATCGAAGGTTCTTTCACTGGATCGTCGCCATCCAAGCGTTCGGCGCGTCCAAGATAGCGCAATCGTTTTGTCTTGATTCTTGTAATAATTTCCCTGCCATCAAAAAGCTCGTCCACTTCGCCTTTCCACCTTTAATATCCGTCTCCCAAGCAAACAGAGCCATTGATCTTGCGTAGAATAGCTCTTTCTCTATTTATATATTTAACTATGGAAGTTCTGCAAGTGGGCCTAAATCTACATATGTTTGTACCATTGGGCTGGGAACTACATCCGGATTTTTCAACTATCCGGTTAAACCGAATATTCGAATATCCGGATACCTAAATGAAAAATCCGGTTACTCTGAAAGCTAAGATAATATTCTGCTAACCGAATATCGGATTTTTCGTAATCAAAACGATATTTTCATTTCTTAATGGCAGGCGCTCATAAATGTGTAGTAACACATTTTCTATTTCTACGCACAAAATTGTTTTTATAAATTTTTAAATTTCCAAAATTCTACTATGGAATCTAAAAAGTTCCACAAACAAATTTATGTGTACAGAAAACTTGCTGCTTCATATGCATGAGCGCCTGGTATTGGGAAATTAAAGTATCGTTTCGTAAAAATAAAAAATAAAAATATAAAATTGACCACGTGGCTTTAAAATATCATGGACGGAATGAAAGCAGTTACGATACTTTTGGTCGTGGTGAATGCCTTACCAAATTTTAGCATTTCTAAAAAAGTGATTTAACTCTATCGTGTGCATTAGGGCTGGGACTATCCGCATATTCAAATATCCGGGTATCCATGCGGATTATCCGTTGACACGAATAAAATCCGGATAGTATGGATATCCGGTTAATATTCGTTAGTGATATTATTCGGATATCCGGATTTACGAAGATCCGGTTAGCATTCGTATTTTCGGATATCCAAAAAAAAAAACAACAAACTGATTAACAATATTCGTAACATGTGAACACTCATAATTTCATGATTTTCGCCTTCAGTAGATCTTAGCCGCAGAAATTTACGACTAGGATAGACATGAAAATGATAAATGCGTACCTCTTATAGTGCCTTACTGACCTATATAGATAGTCTTTTTTATTTTACTTTTTATTCGTTTAATAGAAAGCAAACTTAAGTTTAAAGGAAGCTTTGGTATTAAAAGTTTCCAAAAAAAAGACCCGCGGTTTTAAATACTTCTTGAAAAAATCTCCAAAATTCCACAAAATATCTAATAAAAATTAAAAATATTCCGAAAATTCTCAAAAAGCTCCCAGGAAAATCTTGCAAATTCTCAAAAAAAAAACGTAAAACTTTGGACGCATTTCAACATTAAAATATAATGGTTTAATTAAAAAAAAAATATTGCAAATAGTCAAAGAACGATGTCAAATCCGTTGCTTCTAAGCCAACAGAGATTTCAATCTTAGTAAAGTTTTTTCTTAAACTGGAAGTAGAATGTGACTAGCCGTCCTGTGTATCAACTACTGAATCTATAAAAAGATAAAGAAGTGGTTCAATAGTCAACACTAACAGTTACATAATATATTATAAAAAATATTTAATCAAGTAATTAGAATAGTACAACAATAAGGCAGAGTCGCTCAAATGCTCTCAACAGCTGATAAGTAAATCATTTCTTCTACCTCCACCATTACCAACAGTATCGCTAACTAATATCTACATACATATGTACAACCACTTCAGCCTATCTCAAGATTCGCCACCACTTCACCCAGATAATAGTCGGTTAAGCGTTTCGCCTCCCGCCAACCACTCTCTACCGCGCCATGCACCGTCGAATAGTAGTTTGTATGCGTCGCCTCACCGGCGAATTGCAGCAATGGTTTTCCACTTCTTTCATCCGTCAGCGGCTTAGCCAAATCCGCGCTACCTGTGCGTAGCTCTTCGGTATACATCGAACGAAATGAATAGCTGCCGCGAAAATTGGGATTACTAAACCATTGTGTGCGCAAAAATTTCACTGGCTTTGGCATTTCGAAAGTAAGAAACTTTTCAAAAAGCCACTGCAGAGCATTGAGAATCTCCGATTGAGTTAGCGTTTCCATGTGACGTGCATGCGAACCGATTATCCAGCCTTGAAGCAAGCGTGGCTGACAAGTAACGCGAAAAAAGCCGATTACGCCCTCCAACCAAAAGTTCACAGAGTTGCGTAGCTCTAACAAATCCTCATCGCGCCAAAGGAAGCAAAAGCCAGGCCAATCGCTTTGCTCAAAAGGTTCTTCAAATTCCATGAAAAATTTATCGACTGTGCCCAACTTGAGTCCATCAATAGGGCGACATTTGGCAGGCGGCAGCGCTGGCGTAAACATTTGCTGATGGGTTTCCTTAAGCACGCCCAGCGATACAGTGCAGATGACATGATCAGCTTCGATTAGTTCACCATTCCAAAGTCGTATGCGTATGTCGCCATTTACTTCCCTCCACGCGATATTTTGCACGCGTGAGTTATACCGTATGCGATCGTCAAGTATGCCCAAATCAGCTACATCGTCTTTCCGTGCTTGCATGAGTAGCCGCAATAAACTGCGGAAACCTTTACCTTTCCAATTGAGTTGCTGATCGCCTTCACATTCCCAATACTCGAGTTGACCGCGCGCAGAAACTTCGAACAAATGATCTGCACCATCCATGGAACTCAACATTTTTTTGTAGTTGTCGAAAAATTCACATGCCACTGTCTTATCGAACGCTTGCGTCTGCGGCAGATTACGCCAAAATACCTCGGTGTAGTATGTACCCAAGGAGCCTTCGAAATCTTTTAATCCCGGCTGGTGCGACATTGTCAAATTGGAGGCGACAGATTTAAGCACGTCAGTGGCTGCATTCGAGAGTATTTCCTTGTTGGAACGCACGCATTTGTAGTCGTCATAGAACGTGCTTGTCGGCTGCACCATATCCAAGTCTTTTACCAACTCATAGATGACATTGCCCTTCTCCCCATGGCACCATTGCGCACCCAAGTCGACCACATTATCCGCAAATGGTATGCTATGTACGCGTCCACCAAAACGATTTTCAGCCTCAAGCAACAACACATTTTCAAAGCCGGACTGTAGGAGGCGTGTCGCTGCCGCTATGCCAGCCGCGCCGGCACCGATTATCACAATACGCGCCGATTCCATAGCCTTCGATTTGCTTGTCTGACCAACCAGTTGTTGCCGATCAAGTAGTGCCAGCGAGCCGCAGCGTAAGATCCCCAACTAACTTTGTAACAGCTCAGCACTTGGCAAGCAACTGGCGTTTAGCTAGTTTTCAGCGGAGGCGCTCATACCCCAGAAAGAGCGTACTCATAGAGCATAAGTTTAATGGATTCTCTACATTGTGGTTCATATCATCACGCATACATATTTATAGAGGGTGAAACAAGAGTGATGCAGATCTTTGACATTTGATAAGTTAATGTTTTTGCTTATTTTTTCAGGCAGGTTTTGGCGAACTTAGGCATGGAGCGACAGTCAGTTGATCAAAGTGAAAGTGATCCAAACGTTTCATGGAAATTGTCGTTCTGCAAAAAGTGCATTTCGGTCAACATAATCGGCCATCTGAGTCAACAATAAGCCGTTTGGTGCAGAAGATTTACCCATGTTTCTTCGCTTGATGTGGTTTTTGGGCCGTCGAAGTCATCAGACCGTACTATTTGGAAAGATTATTTAGAAGAACGTTGTCGTGACACGAAAAAACTATTTTGGGACCTGAATTAGAAGACATGGTATTGGACAATAAGGGAACGAAGTTCCCAGGACGCTATGCCTCGCAAAGCAACGAGGTCAAATAGTGGGCGAGATCTTGCGGTTTAACACCATTGCATTTCTTTCTCTGGAGCTACATGAAAAGTATGGTTTACGACAATAAGCCCGAGATGATTCCAGAGCTGAATTATATACAGCCTGCAATATGGCAAAGAAACATGTAAAATTTAAAGGATATTGTGCTTTACATATAAATGACATAGACTCAGAGCCGTTAGGAGAAAACCTAGACCCGGTACTAATTACGCAACCGGGCCCCGCCCCCTCAAAAAAAAAACTTTTTACCAAAAGTTTTAATCAAATTTGTCAACTTAGAAATATATTTTTATCTTTCAGTTCAAATTGGGACCCTGGACACCCTCAGCCCCTTCTCGCCGGCCCTGCATAGAACAAAAAGCTTGATGAAAAAAAAATCTTTCCGAAAAAAATTTTGTTGTTTTAAAATGTATGTGTAATGTTATAAATTTAATAAAAGAATATCTGCGTTTTTATTGAATCACCCTGTATAAGCAACTGCGAGAAAGTGGAGAGCTATCAATGCTTATCGGAATCAATTCAGCGCCCTTTGGGAATGTGGACATATGACTCTTGTCAATGAGGTAATGCATACATTTGTTTGCTTTTTATTTATAATTGTTTAGGTTTATTCTAGGCATAAAAGTTGTTTGTATGAAGATAAGATTGTACATAGATACAAGTACATAGACGTATTAGTAATACAATCCGGCCAATTTTTATGATTTTTCAATGCACAGTATATAGTAAATTTAATGACAACTTTCGCCACATTCAACTATTTTCTATGAGAAGGCAGTCAATTTGGAGAAACAGTTTCGTATATTAACTAAGTACTAGTGAACCCGCATGGCTTGGCTACCTCGCTGACTGTCATCGCTCTCCTGAGCAGCGGCTCAACCACCTTCTTAATAGCAGTCACTTCCACCTGAAATACACTACAGCAGTCCGGAAACCTGAAACTTTGTACTGATGAAAAGCTCTCCACATAAGACCCCTCGACCAAACCAGCCATTCAGTTTCGCAAACGCTGCCGTATATGGTCATGACAGTCCTGTCACGCAGCAAGTCTGGGATAAGCCGAATGGGACTGACTTCAACCCCACGCTTATCCAACGACTTTGCTATTGCTTCCGGCAGGACACTATTAAAAATCCCCTCGATATCGAGGAAGGCTCCTACCGCAAAATTTTTTTGAGTGAAAGCTTCTACCCACCTCACAATTGTGGTCAGAGCGGTCAGGGCGGTCAGGGCGGTTTCTACCGACCTTCCTTTACGAGGAATCCCGCTCGTTATGTTCGGGTCAAGCAGCCTCTAAAACGTTTTCAGTAGAAACGACGTCAGACTGATTGGCCTGAAGTCATCGATTTAACTTTAATGGTATAAGATATAGATTATGTTTTATAAGGTGTAAGATCTAAATTATATAGTTTAGGGTACATGATACAAGGTAAAAGCTATTAGGTATACCGTTTAAGTTATGAGGCATAAAGTATAAAATGTAAGGTATAATTTTCAGATACCTATCAGGTATAAGGTATAAAGTAAAAGGGAAAAGCTACAAGCTTTAAGGTATGAAGTATATGGACAAGGTATAAAATAAATGGATACGGTATAAAGAACAAAATGCAAGGTATATGATAAAAGGTATAAGCTATAAATTATAAGGTATAAGGTATGTTGTATAAGGTGTAAGGCGTATGATATAAGATATCAGGTAAATATAAGGTATAAGATATAAGATAAAAGGTGTAAGATGTAAGGTATAAGGTATAAGACATAAAGCATAAAATACAAATGTATATATTAATTATAAGGTATAGAGAAAATGTTCCTACAAGTTAACTTACAGTACGTCACATAAGCCACCAACCATACATCCATCAAGTAGACATTTTAATTGCGAAAACTGTCATAAAGAACTCGCTTCGCTTAGATGAACGATTAAAATTTTTCGGATACAGTGTCATGCTTCCTCAACATACAAACATAAATACGTTACGAGGACATATCCCGGAGTAGTTACACCAAGCAACAGTAAGTCACACCAACAAAAAAAAACTCCAATCAGCAGGAGTGCTTCCTTTCCTTTTAAAATATTTTCTGTAAAATAATTTCAAAATTTATTTACAAGCTGCCGTTGCCAGCAAGTTGTCAGCAAGTTGCTAGTAATTATGCGAGTAACAACAACAAGCAATCAATCGCACAAGTTTATATAGCGTGTATGTATGTACTAAATGATGTCAAAGCGTTTATGTAGACGTCATCAACACAAGAAAGTTATAAAAATTGCTGCAGTTTCCTATTAGCTAACTACTCACATATATTTACTCTTGGGTTATGCTTCTATTGCCAGCAACTTGCGATGCAGCAATGATAACATTTCAGCTTCACAAGACACAAATACTTAATCACAGCACACTGACAACAGCAACAATGAGATCTATAGCTGCTGACTTAGCAATCGTCGCTGAAAGTTATGATTGGAGCAATAATGAGCAGTTTGTCGCGAAAGCAAAACAAAAACACTAAGCACTTAGATTACTATTAATATACATATATCTATTCGTATGTATGGAGTCCTTGATTTAAAGCACTGCAATTTGAAAATGAGCAATTGATCTAAGGAACCTGCCTTTTAGCCAACTTTAATGAAGTGTTCCAGCATCGGATAGCCAATTATTTAAGAAATCATGGGCTATGTAGCTTTTTTTGTCCCTAAATACTCGAATTACTTCAGTTTTACGTAAACAATATTTCACAGGAAGTAAAAAGCTATTAAGAGAAATAAAAAGATTCGGTCTAATAGTGCCTAATAGGCGAGATCGTTAGAACCATCGAGTGTAAGGATTTTACTCTGTGCGACCTCTTGACTATTAATAGAGCTCTCGATAAAGCTGCCTACGAATTTCTCGAGGGCATGGACGTTGGGTTGGACATCATGCTTTGTGAATGCGATATTTCATCATCGCCAGTCAATATATAATTGGAACTTTCATCTAGATAAGACTTCTAATAAACACTAGACTAGTGTTATGCGGGCCTATAAGGTAACTATTAGTCGAAAATGTGGTCTGAGATAAATGATGATTGATGGCCAAAAACTTTTCTAACAAACTCCAAATTGCTCTTAGTTACAGTCGCAAGGTCAGTATGAAACTCGTGGATAAAGTCCTTCTGATGACTTTGATTAAACAGCAGCCTTGACTCAAACTTCGAGTGCAACAGGAGCTACATATGTATGTACATCTGTGTGCTCTATATAGTAGCTGAAGGGGCAAGCCGGACGTATTTTCTGGCCGACAGAAAGTGGACTGGGTTGCTGTTAGAATAACCAAAACGAGCGAGTGACCGATGTTCTGAGTGTGTTATTATGGAGGCAACACTTTTCAATCCTGCTAATGCAGAGCCACCAGCCGAAGAAGATGAAGTCGATGTCCCACCACCCGTCTATGACGAGGTACGAGTATCAACTTCAAGACCGAAGAAAAACGAAGCTACTGCAGCTGATGGCCTTCCAGCTGAGCTATTCAAGCAGCTCGGCGCAGAGTTAATAAGGTGCTTGCATTCGCACAAAGTATGATCGGATAAACAAATGCCTGATCATTGAAACTTTAGTTTCTTCTGCTAAACCCAGAGGAAAGATGACGCTGCCATATGAGTCAACCACCATGGGATCCAACTTACTAATATGGTATACAAGGTCTTACCAGTAGGCTGGTTGAGCTCTTACATATGTATGTGTTTTCCGGATTTTTAAAGAGCTCTATTTTTAATTTAATAATAATTTAAATGCGTAAATTTGTTCATTAATCTCTTACAGTTCAATGCATCGCAATTATGCCAGCTGGTCGAATTCAGTAACCAACTATTAAATCATTATTTTGGCCTACATGTATATACATATGTACATACACTTGTATATATGTATATCTATTTTATTCCCTTCTAACAGAATTTGACATTAATGCGGCATTAATAAGCAAGAACATGCTTGCCTTTCATTTGGCGTCAACAATTTATTTACAGTTTCACACTTCTCACTGCTACGGGCGCCACAACATACACACATACTATTTGCACCATAAATAATTACTTGCACGAAATCTCAAAGACATAATGAAATTGTACTGTTGAAACCTACATTAACAATTTTGATGGTATCGTTAGAACACTGGTAACTAAGTTACACATTTCTTGAGTAGTCTGCAACTGGTGTGAAATTTGTGTTCATATGTATATACAACTATGTACGTATCTGTGTAGTTATGTACCTAAGTATGTATTTGCTAAATTGTAAAGTCAACCACAGCAAATTTCGCACACGATCAAAAAGGCACCGTGTTGTAAAAAATATATATATTTTACATCTACACCGATGGCTCCAAGCTAGACCTGAAGGTAGGAAGTGGGATATATTCCACTTGCGTTAGCAAGAACTCTCACTTAGCCTCAGCTTTCGTCTGCCAGATTACTGTAGCGTTTTTCAGGCTGAACTAACAGCAATCTACGAAGCTGCTAGATGGCTGGTCGATTTTCCTACTAATCTACATGCAGTAACTATTTTTTCGGATAGCCAGGCAGCTATCAAAGCACTTAATTGTGACAAATCTACATCGAAGATTGTCATGGAATGTAGACGTAGTCTAAATGAGCTGCCAAGGAGTTACTTTACTCAAGTTGTATGGATACCAGGTCATAGGGTCATACCGGGCAACTGTGTTGCGGATGAGCTGGCTCGGAAAGGAACCCTACTTCCTGCGATCAGTACCGCTCGTAATGCAGGTATTCCGCTATCATCCTATAAACTCTGGCTGCAGAATAACTTTATCGAACGGGCAAATGTAAGATGGTCCACAGAGCCCACGTGCAGGATAGCGAGACACATCTGGCCTAGGTTAGATAAGCGTAGATCTCGCCCTCTCTTCCGTTTGGAGCGACCAATGCTCCGCCATGTTATTGGAATTCTCACCGGGCACTTCGCTTTATGGGGACCCACGCTGTCAGGATGAGGAGGAAATCGAGAGCTTGGAGCATTCGTTACCTGTGCCACTGTCCCGCTTTGGCAAGAGCTCGTCGACGCGCGCTCCTTCGCTATTCTTTCGAGTGTCTGGCTGAACTGGATTCGGCCAGTATCTACGATTTTGTGCGCTTCATCAGAGCTACAAATTGGTTCAATTTCTGAGGTAGGAGGAGGAACGCTAGGAGTCTCAAATGTATCACAATGGGCCCATGGTGGCCTAAGTGTGCCCTTTTCCTGTTCGAATGAGGGCAGCCAGGATAACCTAACACTGGTCTCATCATCTCATAGCAAGTCCGATATATTGATTGCGAGGTTGATGTTTTTGTTGCAAAAGCAGAGACATTTTCCAAAGAGAGTTTTTAGGGAAATTTACTGCAGGGACAGTCCTAGAACAGAGTCCTTGCGGTTAGGTAGATGCAACTGTCGTAGGAATATTTCGAGGTCAATAGAATTCAGCGCATGAGGTGTTATTGAGCTGTTAAGTAACCAGTACGCCACTTTTAGTGAGCAAGACTTTTTAGATACTGGGCCATTTTTCTTAAGCGCAGAGGCAGGTTAACATTACGCTGGGTTAAAAAGGCTGTTTTATTTGTTTAATAGTAAACATACATACACACATACACTTATTGTTTTTTTTTTGTTCTTGTTGCATTGTTGTGTTAAAATTACAAAACACGCACAATACAAATTCACGCCTTTTAACTCAACACAATGTAAGCTGCGAAAAACATAGAAAAAATGTAAAGGAAATAAGTATAGCCCAGACGCAGTTGAAGCTTATGCGCTGCAAAACAAAAGTACCGATGTACGAAAACAACAATAAACAACAAAATTTGCTACAATTAAGTGATTTAATCCATTACAAGCTGTTTATCAACTAAAGCGGCTAGAACAAAGAGCTCTACTCAGAGAGCGCAGAAACAATCTACCGAAAAGCGCTTTAATGTTGTCGACAAATGCCTACTTTAATTTGAATTTTTTTGCTCCTCCCCCCGTTTGTTGACCGATTTTCTTCTAGCCGCGGCCTAAGTGATGCTAACATATTTGCGCTGGTACAGCAAATTTTTTGAAGCTTCAAATTCCTGGCATATTTTCCATTTAATGTGTTCATTCGTTAAACGAAAGCTGATGCATTGTTGCGAGCATCATTTGACGATGATGTTGCTGTTGGTGTTGGTGTTGATGTTTGCACAATTTGGCTTAAACGTTGCATGTGACAAGTGTGTAGCAGGAATTTCAAGCAATTCGTATTTTCCTCCACAATGGATTTCAATTTGTCTTGTTAAGTTGTTGTTTAAATTTTTTTATTTTCTTTTCCTGCCTACATAACTAAGCGCTTAGTTTGGTAACCGCTTGAGATTTTTTTTACTCAATTTGAAGTTAAGTTACTGTGTGTAAATTGTTGAAATATCGAAATACAGTGCAATCTGAGCCGAAATAAAAGATTCGTATGTATGTTAGGGTGGTTAAATTTGTATAGGAGCTTTTTCCGACTACGCACATATAGCACAGAATGATTCTACATCCAATTTTAAGCAAATTTGTCGAAGAAACTATGGGTCTAAAATCAATTTGGAATTTGCCAAATTTCGAAAATAGGTTTCTTAGGATTTTGTTGTAGTGTCTTAAAGAAGTACTTACATTTTGTTTAAAAACATGCTTTAAGGCGGTTTTTTGGTATGTGTAATCAATTTCTGCACTTATCTTTTTTTCCAAACTTCCATCCGAAGGGCCCAACGTGAACATTTTCCTATTTTCTTCGAAACTTTTTTTCGCATTTTGGCAAACTCCAAACCCATCCTTTCTTATGGAAATTTGGTCACAATTACAGGTAGAACTCTTCTATACTATACGCGCATAGTAAAAACAAAATATTGATCCACCCTAATGTATGTTCCAAAATTTTTGTGCACCGTATCTTTAGTTCCGTTTTCGGGATAGACAGATTGCTTATAGAAGATTTTATTTTTAACTTTTCGTCCTTATGGGTAAGTTTAATAACCATAATCCCAGAAATACAATTTTACGTATGTACATTAGGACGGATCGATTTGTTCTTAAAAAATATAGCCGCCTTTGTTACAGCGACTGAAGTATTCTACTGGCAATTCTAAGTAAAAAAAATGCAGGGTAGCATAGCTCCAAAATAGATTTCGAGCCTTCATATTTTTAATTTTAATTATTAATTCCTAACTAATTTCTGATTACGAAACCGTAGGTATACAGTTTCCTTCAGCTCGAGATTTTGAACGAAAAAAAAACCTGATCAAAGTAATTTTTGAGAAGCTCTAGCGCCAGTGTCCTGCAAGAAAGCTTGTGACAATTCTTAAATTCTCCTTTGGCAAACTGAGTATCCCCCAAGTAAGTATTTTGGCCGAGGTAGCCCTGTTGAGCAGCGCAAGAGCTGTTCTCTCAATGCTCTTTTTGCGCTCCTGAGATCTTCCCTGATTGTATGTAGGGCTTAGGCCGACTTGCGATAGCATTTGAGACATATGCCCTGGAGTCATGGGTGCTAATGTTGAGTACTCTTCTATACTGAATATCTTTTCAAATACTATTGTTCGCTGAAACGCGTTTATGACTAGTAGAGTAGTTCATTTAGCTGCCTGCCCTAAGGTTATAAGCGGGGACTCCGGACATATTTGATCACTACCAAGCCTGCCGCGCGATTCAGCCATTCCTAAAAATGCATGCCACCTGCTGGTTCCTATTATCTGAGGAAATGCATCAGCGGTACGAGATTTTCATCGGATGAAGAGGTCATCACGTCTACTTTAAGGCGATATAAAAAATTTTAAGAATTCTGTACTAAATTTAACGCCCTGGGAGACTTAGTTAAAAAATAAAATGCGCTTTCATCAACAAAAAAAGAAATGTATTCTAAAAAGTCCCTTTCTTCTCATACTGCCCTGTTGAATTCTTCTCATACTTTCGTTCTGTTGTTTGCGCTTCTGGCGCTACTCCTATTGTGCACTGGTGACTTACCTTAGCTACGTCATAAAAACTAAAAAAAAAAANAACAAAAATAGTACTAAAAATCGAGTGCTATGTCCTGATAAAAAAAAAAAACAAGATTCAACGCAATGCCTCAAATCTTCAGTCGGCACTTGAGTACACAGTCACGGTGTGCGAAAAGAAAAATTCGTCTCGTTAAGGCGCAATTTTTCATTTACACACGTAAAAAAAAAAACGTAAAATCGACTAATGGCAACACGTATCTAGCGTTGAAACAAAACCAAATTCTAACGATGCAACCTGAGTAAGAAAAAATTCTGGCAAAAAAAGCCAAGAAAAATAAGCGCGCACACACCAACGAAAAGCGGAAGAGAAGGAGGCAGGGAAATAATGAAATTATTTTATAGATGGTACATACATACACACACACATTCATGTGCATATATATATAACTTTCTTACCTTGCCGCAGCATTGAAAAATCAAATCCCAAATATCCTAAATGAAAAGCACCGAAATGGGTTGCATGGGAAAATTTATAAAGATTAAAAATGCAGAAGAAGGGCAAAATGCTTGTCGGCAATGAAAGCAGCCAGCCAGCCAAAGAAAGGGATGAATGCCTCGACGACTAAACATTAAATGAGGTAAAGATGTAGACGCACTTAAGTATATATGTATGTACATATGTAGGTATCTATACCCATAAATGGATATGTTTTGTAAAAGAAAAAACTCTGCTGGGAGCCGATATTACTGAAGGTGTAAATGCACACGCGCCCGGTGTATGTTGATGTGGATGTATTTGTGTTTTTACGGGTTGAGCGGCTCCTTGATGTGGCAGTGCTTTTTAGCGAAATTGAAAAGCCATTGCCAGACATTGAAGCGTACATATGTATGGATGCCATGGTAAAGTAAATGTAGGAAAGCAGAAGAAATCAGTTATGCAACATTGATTTTTGCCAACATTTGTCGCTTCGCTACACTAAGTTTACTGAACTGTTAGAGTGGTGTCTATTTGCCAGAAGGCATATTGGAAGATATTTACGTACGCTTGTGTGTATGTTTATACAAAGTATGTGCATTAGGGTGGTCCGAAAATGCATGTGAAAAGGTTGTATGCTCTCAACAGCTAGGATTGTTCTAAACCGAAAAAATATACCCCTATTTTTTTATCAAAAATTATTAATAGGTCGTTCAAAGCGCTTCAAGTTTTCCATGTATTTTATATGGGGAAAACACAGCTTCTCTGAAAAATGGTATTGAAATTTGGAAAATCAATATTTTTATATCGGAGAACAGGGACCGAGCATAACAGTTAGTGGTGCAAACTGTCATTGAAAAATTCACTATGAAGGAAATGTTCTACAGCTAAGTGATACATACCAGTCGATTTTTTTTTTCACCGAGAATTAAATTTAAAAATAATTTTTTTTTGCTATAAATCCAAAAATAACAATTATTTTTGATTTTTATCTAAATATCGGCTGCTGTGGTGTAGTGGTAAGCAGTGCGCGCTTTCACTCACCAGCACCTGGGTTCAAGCCCTGGTCAAAGCAACATCGCAAAAAATTTAGAAAAAGGTTTTTCTTAACAGCGGTCGTCCCTCGGCAGGCAATGGCAAACCTCCGAGTGTATTTCTGCCATGAAAAACAGCTTCTCATAAAAATACAATCGCCGTTCGGAGTCGGCGTAAAACTGTAGGTCCCTCCGCTTTGTGTGACAATATCAAGGCGCACGGCACAAGTTGGAGGAGAAGCTCGGCCAAACACTAACATATGTGTAAGCGCCAATCTATTATTATTATATATCTAAATAATTTGCACATAAGATTTATTTTTGATTTTTAAATTATATGTCTTAGATAACAGTTTTCGAAGACTTTTATTTATATAAGTCATCAATAAAAATCAATCAGTGACTTATACTTTTTAAAGTCATCCATACAAATCAGTCACCGACTTTTATTTTTTAAGTCATACGTATAAAAGTCATGTATCATTTCTCGCAGTTAAGAAGGTGTTGGAGAACAAAAGTTTACTACGACGACTACTACAAATGACTTTTATAAGAATGATTAAAAATATAAATGTCAGTGACTGATTTATATTGAAGACTTTTAAAAGTAAAAGTCACTGACTGATTTTTATTTATGACTTTTATAATTAAAAGTCTTCGACAGCTGTTATCTGAGACATATAATTTAAAAATCAAAAATAACTGTTATTTGTAGATTATTTAGATAAAAAAGCAAAAATAATTGTTATTTTGGATTTATAAAATAAAAATTAGAAATAACTGTTATTTGAGGAATAACTAAATAAAAGTAAAAAAAAAACTGTTAAAGATAGATTTTTTTAATAAAAGTTGTAAAACGGCGACCAATAAAAAAATCTTTAGTGTTATAAATTGGTTACATAAAAAATTTGGTATTTTTCTGGAAGTCTCCAGAAGAGAACCCGAGTTTTCCGATCGAAAAATTTTGGTTTTCAAGAATTCTATACCATTTCTACGAAAAGTTGTTTTTTCCCCATATAAAGTACATTGACAACTATGAGCGCTTTGAGCGACCTCTAAATATGTTTTAGATTTCAAAATAAAAAATATGGATATATTTTTTCGATGTCGAACAATCCTAGGGGGTCAGAGCATTAGAATTCCGACTTTACTTTTTTTTACCACCCTAATATACAAACGTATGTATATGCTGCGACCCTGTAGGGCATTTCTGATAAATGCAAACGTCTCAATCTGATTACAACTCTTG